AGCAGATGAACGGATCCTCCAATCCATCGTTCACAACAACATCGTGAGCGTAAATAACAATAAAATTAAACTACTGATCTATTATAAGAACAAGAAAATAAACAATTTTGTAATGAACAATAACCCCTGCAAAAGAGGGAGTTTTTCAAGAGACCAATGTAGTCTATAAGTTTTCCTGCAATAGAGAAGGTTACAGACTTCTCCCTTATGGGACTACATCGGACTCACGACTACCACTTTAAGCCGACGTCTCACGTGCCACCTTCAGTCTGGTGGACCAAGAAACCACCTGATGGAAGCCCACAACGAGACCATCACTCGTACGGTGCTGGAGAAATGCACCCGTGTCGTCATGCGATGCCCCGACGCCAACCGACTCGCGATAGCTGAGGTCCTCATCATTAAGGATAGGACCCCAGCCATCAACCTTCAAACTAATGGATTTGTCAGAACCTTGAGACAATTTTCGGAGTGATTTTTGGTGTTTTGATTTTTGTTCATCTTAATATTTTAGTGACTAGACATTATTTCTAACTAATTCTGTTTTTTGAGTAGCACCTATTTACATAATTTTGTACCTATGTCGACCCAAATTTCGTCGCTCAATGCGCCTTTCAACTTGAGAATGAATGATTGAAATATTCGAAACGTCATTAAATAAGTGCAAACGAAAAATACTGTTCGATCTATTGAAAAACTAATAAGAAAAATGCAAACAAAACAAATTCTCTAGTCTTCAATGTAACCTGCTTGAAGGAACAAATTTTGCCAACCTATACTAATACATAGATATATAGATATAGCCGATATAGCTATAGACTGTCACAGGGCGAAAGCCTTGCAAAAGTGACATCAAAACTTCTTATAAACTAAAAAGGCCACGAATTACATTAAATATTCCCGGACATAAAATAACAGGTAGTGTTATTTACAACCAATAAACTTTTTATTACAGCGGACCTAGATACGGCATTTAAAAAGTGAAAATCAAGAAGCTTTGCATCCATCTTGTTCGTCAATTGTTTGTTCACATGACTAACTAGAAAACATTTCCCATCGTGAACGCAACACGAGCGAAGGCCTCAGATTATTAGGCGTCGAACAAATTTAATAGAAAAATTTAGTTCAAACGAATAGCATGGAAGGTAGCAAACAAAATACAACTAACTGTGATTACGATAAATTAAATGGGTTACTTCATTCGTTAAATCTCTTGTTATTCCTTCATGAATCAATCATGAACACTACTAGCAGTTTAGAGAACACTTCTCTCAAAAAACCGTTTCATGATGTTTCAATCCGGGTAAATGGCAAGGACAATTTGCTAATATTTGAGCTTCCACAATTGTGAGCAAGTAAAGCGTAAACATCAATAATAATATGCGTTTAAAAATTAATTTTTAAAGACAACACTTCAAAATAAGGCAGTGTCTCGGATGTTACAAATGTAATTAATTTCTAATTTTACTATCAAATATAAAAAAATTAATTTATAAATTTCATTTTTAAAATAAAAAAAAATAAAAAATAATTTCAAAATTATTTATTCTGTCACTTGATTCATGCAATGTCTCCAACTTTACGCAAGTGTGCATTATTTCAGATCGATTGGAGAGGTAGAAGTGTGTTGAATATCGATTATAAGATTTGTAGCAGACAGACAAACAAACAAGAAGTGAAGTTAAAGAGAAATGTAAAAAAGTATCAGTGGCACTCCAGTGTGCCAACTTTACAGTGTCAGCAATTCCAGGAAAAAAATCTCTGTCATTATTATAAAGTGAAAATTTTCCAAGTTTCCCCTGAAATTAAAAATACCCCAAGAAAACCAGCCCCTTTAATTTCATAGCCATGGATGAAAAAAAAAACTGAAAAATTGGCAAGTTAAAAATTAAATATAGGAATTCACCACTCTTGTACAACACGTTTGAACTGCACAACTATAAGTATTTCAAAGTTCTAAAGTTTGTCCTGAGTTCACACAAGATTCTAACATGAATGTCTAGTGCATGGTTTCAAACGCCCCACAAAGACACATAAATCAAGGGATTTTTCCATGAACTAATAAATATGATGAATAAAAACTAGCCACATTCAATAAATATATAATATTTATGGCAGCTTATTCCACTCAAACAACGTTTGACATCAACGCCACGAGTGAAGAAAAATAGGATCACACAACATTCCTTAACTAATTGGGAGAGCTTATGATTGACATCAACAAAATGATTCTCAAGTGTACAAATAACTTTACAAAAACTCTCATTAGCTCAACAGACAAACTAGGTACCTAATGTTTGAACAAGTTAAGCAACAAACTACCTAATATTTGAATAAATTAAACACACAAAAAATCATATAACAAGCAAACAATAACATGAATTTCTATAATATCCTGCCTATAAGGCAGAATATTCTAGTCATGATGACTAATATGTTATCATGACATATTAGTCATCATTAGTCATGATGACTAATATGTCATCATGATTGCCATTATTTTCATTTGATTAGAAAAAAATGATCTTAGAATGCACTAAGCGTGTAGAAATTTCTTAAATATTTCCATATTATTTTCAGTACGTATTTTATTTGCAATAAGATTAGAAACTTCAGCAAGCAATCTTGTTGCAACGTCTCGCGCAATAAAATCTGTAAATATGAAATTAAAAGTCAACGATTTACAAGTCAATAAGCATCACATCGAACAGTTATACATTAGAGTAAGGCACAAATTACGATTATATAAAAATATAGATGAATTATAAGAGTACTTTGGAATGATGTCAGCATATAAAACATAGATACTACAGAAGCATATAAATATTACACAAATATTAGTCCTACTTGCGGGAAAAATACTTCGAGGATCTAGTCATTAATGAAAATGATAGTAAATACGGAGCAACGAACTACATGACAAGTTAACGGATTGATCATTCTAAATATTTGTGTGTACATACACGTTTGAATGCACTGATATGATACGATAACACAGATTTCATCTGCAACAGTAGCAAAGCACCGTTTAAACATGTGAAGTTACGAGCCAAAGGGTCAACCTAAGTACAGCTACCATCTCATTACACTGCCCAGGAAAAATCAGCTCTTATCATTGCAGAGATAGGTAATATTGTTCATTGATAACAGATAGGAAGACATAAAGCGTCAAAAAGATATGCTAAGAGCAAAAAAATCATTGAGACCTCCAAAAAATTATCAATCTCAAAATTCAGTAGGTACTACCTAAGTGTCCGTTCAAGTCTCCGTTGTCGAATATGGCACAGTATTCAGCAAGAATTTCTGAGATGCCAGGAGCGTCTCTCCAGAAGTTATTAGAAGCTGTTGCAGATAATGGACATGTAGAATAATATATCACTAATTATAGAGATAATGCTTAAAAGTCTACAATCAGGAAGAAAAATTGTTTCTAAATGTAGTATTGTTTGAGATTCATTCTTTATGATTGGTTTTTGAAAAATTTTTATAGGCCCAGAGCCACTGACTGGAAAAAAAACCTATGCCTCAATCATAAAATATCACGCATAAAAGGTCTGAATGCACGTACATGATGACCCACATGAACAGGCAAATATCAAAATTTCACAATGATCACAAACTACCGTACCAATTTACAAGCAACATTTATTGATTTAACAAAAATAAATAGACAATAATCACAAACTGCCGTGCAGACTCCCTTCTAAAACAAAAATAAACTCTAGCCCTAGAACTAGTTAAAATTAGCAAGGACCTAACCTAACATGATGACATACAACATACATTGTTACACGCCCGTACAAAACAATTTTTAGATGCGGCTTATAAAAGCCGACAATAGAAAAGGTAGGTGAAATATTCATATTCATTCTTTCATGATGATCTTATTTATACGACCAACACACAGCTGATTGTCCAGCATCAACGCTAAATAAAACCTAAATTATTTGCGACCTAATTCATAAAAAAAACTATAAGAACAGGTTATGATTTGGCACAAAAAATCAGGACCTAATGTATAGCACCATAACTGCTTTGCACAGAATCAGTTATTAGGGGTGAAGTTGAGTCCCTCAGAGATTGATCAGGGTAGTTCACCAGAGTCACCCCATGGCGACTGTTGCGGTACAATATGTAATGTTGCACCATAAAGAACACATCAAATATCATTGAGAAGAGTCCTAACCCAAACTTGGTGGGGTCCCCAAATATGGAAGTCCAATCATTGTAGTTGTATGCAATGATAATCATCTGGGCAATGGAGAGCGTGCCGCCTGTGAAGTCCAGCAACACGTTGCCAATACTCCAGCCCGAGGTGCTCTTCCGGCGATAGTTGTAGTAAGCCTGCAACATATCATATAGGATTATAGGAACACATGAATTACAAATGACTAACCTATATTATGGGGGCAATTGAAGCCATCCATTAAATAAAAAATAAATAAAAAGCAATAATAAAATAAAAAGCATGCACAGGATAAAAAGTCTGAATGAATAAAAACTAGAATAAAATCAAATCAATCCATGGTCAGCAGGTTTTCAATGAGCAAAAGAATGAGTTATTTAAATTGGCCCTTTGATTAGCCACTAAATGTAAACCTTCACTCTTTTTAAAAGTGAATCAACAGGCTCTGAGACACCCTTGACTACATCAAACCCCAATCTATACACAGCAATGGGCCTTGCAAAAAGCAGGAATTATCCAAGAGTCTGGTATAATCTATAAATTTTGCTAAAAGAAGGTTGTGGGCTTCTTCATTATTTGAACTACATTAGAGTAAAAACAATGACATTGAGAAGACATTTATCCTGCTGAGAAAAACTCGCAACCACACCAGGTCTCAAAGCATTACAATCGAGCAGATTCATCTCAAGATCCGAAATTAATTCAGCAGGCTCTGTGACACCCTTGTCAGCAATGTCAAACTCAACAAGATCATCACTCGCACTGTGCTGGATGAGCTCACCAGAATCATCATCATGCAGTAGACAACATTATCCTATCAAAGATATCTAAAACCTCATCTCTATGGATCTGACCCCAGCCCTCTATTCCATCACTACCAGATTTCCTGAACTTTGAGATTGATTGAACAAGTATTTTCTGGTACCAAGTTTTTGTGTTGTACCTTATTTACATAAATCATGTACTTATTTTCACCAAAATTTTATTAAAATTAAAAATTAAATGAATGTTTTGCATTCAAAATATTGTTAATAAATTAAAATTACTTCCTTTAACCTGCCTTTTTATCAACCAACATAATGAGAAGAATTATTTGACCCTGAAAATTAAAATAAATAAATGATGTGATCATTAATTGCAAATGTTCAAATAATCAATTTCTGCCATCTAATACGAATTTCTTCTAGGAGTGTGTTGGAATGAATACTAGTTTGCTTTCATAAAAGCTTTCACTAGTAAATTCTTTCATCATAAAGTAGCTCCAAAAAGAATCAAGCTTGCATGATAAACTGAAGTACCGGTACATAGATTTTTATTTACTTACCTGTGGGATGTATTTGATGAGAGTGATGAAGAGTTTCACATAAGAGACAAAATACAGGAAATCCAGCCACTGAACAGAGGATATAAAGACGAATATGGCTGCAAACACAGAAAAAGCCACAATAGTCACAAGGATCACTCGAGTTGCTGCAGAAATTTTCTGGTCTCCTCTGTCAAATAGCAGACATTGCACCACCTGAAAAATAAAAATAGAGTAGATCTCAAATATTTTGTGTGACATACGGTATATTTTTTAGTCTACAATTTTTACATATAAATAAAATCAAGATTTCTACTTAATGCATGCTTTACCCAAATCAATGTTTATCGAGTCAATTCTTTAGAAAAAATATAAATGAAGATAAAATTCAACCCTCTACTTCCAGAGCAATATTGTCAAACATCTGGTTCCTGAAAAAGATGTACTACCGCCAACTGGGGTGACTTTGGCCACCACTACAACAGAAACAAATGGCAGCAAAACAAATGGCAATAACAAACAACAGAAACAAATGGCAATAACAAAATAATAAATGTTGGCCAAAGTGAATGGGGTGACTTTGGCCACTAGGGTGACTTTGGCCAACGTTTATTATTTTGTTTTGCTGCCATTTGTTTCTGTTGTAGCGGTGGCTGAAGTCATCCCACTTGATGGTATGCCAAATGACATTTATTTTAATGGTATCTGCCATGTAGTATACGCAATAACCTTTAAATTTTTCTGAAGGAAACTTATGGACTTGTATTCATGAACCTGCTCAATAGGGTGGACCAAAGAACAACTTTTTTGAAAATTTGCTATCCAACTATGATATTTTTTATGTGGACACCTGTCAAGTGAATCTCCTTCAAGGATTGCTTGAATAAACAATTTCTCCAGTTGCTGCAAGGCTATTGAGAATAGCAAAAAACATGTATTTTAGCATATTTCCATTTTAATGTTACATTTTTAAAGTTAACCTGGTTTATTGAGGTGATAATGGTGGATAATTATTTATTAATCAATTATTAGGATAACAATATATGGCACAAATCCATTGATCAGCTAAGAGGTTTTTCTAGCCTCATTTGCAAGTTAACCAAAGTGCAATTCCCTACCCCACCCCGGCTCCTCACCAAGGTTGATCGGAGGTTTCACTGTTGCGTGTCTCTATATGGATCAGTATGTTATTTTTATCTATTCTATTATTCACATGAAATAATATTTGGTGTAGTTTTAGTCATATCTCATCCTTATTTTGTCCACCACCTGGCAATAAATATTTTCTTTTAGGTAGAGATGATATTCTCATTCAATAATGTTGAGTAGAGAGGAATATATATTAAATTTTGAAACACCAAGAAGCTAAAAATTAAATGTAACACTAGTGTAGGGTTGACTTATGTTTGGACTTCTGAGAAAAATAGTCACTAATTTTTTTTATTGCTTGATCATATAATAAAATGGAAGTTCTTGAGACTCGTTGGGAGTGGCAAGGTATATACATAGTACCTACTTCTAAGTTGCCAACAATATTGACAGAGGGTACACTAAAGTTGCCATAGACTGGAGAGATTATTGCAGCCTTTGCGTGAATAGGTACAGTAGAGAAAGCCTCAAACTCACGTGGCACCAACACTTCAACTTTGGTCTTTCTTCTGTCTTCAACAAATTATTGAAAATAATTTCAAATGTTGCTTCTGTATGAAAATAAACATAACCCAAAGGAATACATCTTTCTTCTAGAAACCATATTTCAGTGGATTTGCACCAATATTGAATTTTGTGATTGGTAGAAGCTGTCCGTTTCACAGCATTGATGTTGGAGGGCTGTTCAGGGTTCATTCCATTCATTTGAATCTACTTTATTGAAAAAATGCACTTCATGGATGAACTTTCTGTATGAAAATTAGTCTGTTAACTAGTGTAGCACACTAATCAGAAATTCAACTAGAATTCACTCTGAGTACAAATTTCTTTGTATGCAGCATGAACAATTTCTTTGAACCTAAAAAAGTATTTTCTGACCCCATCTATAACTCAGGGGCCAATTTCATGGCCAAAATAAAGTGCATTGCCCGCAAATAAGAGATCTTGATGCTGAAATGCTTTTGCAGAGTCCGCTGCCAGACACTGTACTATGAAAAGCAAGTAACTACACCCACAAAACCACTTCACAGACTTGAGAGAAATACAGAGAAAGACCTTGATGTATTCTGTCAACTTCATCGACTCAACAAAATAATTATATTTTGTATAATAATTGTATACCAAATGCATGCCCACATTTATCACACAAAATAATGTAAGTAAATATTTATTATCCAACGTGGGCTTTATCCTTTCAAGTTTGTTTATGTGCTTGAAATTATTTTTAATTGGTTTCATCTCTTCATTTCAAGAGATTTAAGAGGGTAGTTTGCCTTATTAAGATTATTTGTAAGAAAGTTGACTCATGTCAAGCTTTTTTTTTCAAACAAGCTCAGAAACTTCCATGCTGTGCTACGCTTTGTTTGCAAAACTCGAGTGTCAATGCACAAGTATCGTGCATGACTTTAGAAGTCATTTTACAATGTTTTTAAAAACAAATTGGTAATTATGTGGGAAAGTACATAAATGGAGAATGATTCTTAAATTATTTTAGGCAACACTTGGACACAATTATTGCATTGTTAGTATAAATTAGCAACAAAAATTATTCTCCAAGTCCTGCCTCATGAAGCAAATGTCCTATGCAAACCTTGCCATTTATCCCAAATTTGTGCACACTTAGGTTGTCAGGTATATTTAGAATAAATAATGGCTATATTACAATGTCTCTGAAATTTGGAGTGCAAGCAATAGTATGTATGAACCTCTTTTAACTGCATTTCAGCTCAGAATGACCTTGGGCTGGTATAACAAACATTTTCCCAGTAATAGAACATTGCCCAAACAAGGTTTGGACAGGATAAGGAAAAAATTAATTTTGCTTGCAGAATTTTTGTCATGTTGATTTGGAATCTCAAAACTATTTACAAATTAATTACCAGAAATGCGTTATACTCTCTTTAAGCAATATTAATAAATGTTCTAGTGTTTTCCTTTGATAATGAAATGTTTGTATTGACTATTGAGTCAGTTTAAAGAAATACTTCTTTTTCCTGGCAAGTGCAAGTGTAGCATGGGCCACAGGGCTGGAAAAGTCCTACTTTTTTATGAAATATCGGCTCTAATATCAGAATTTCAGTAGGTATGAAATCTTGCGGCTCTAATGTCATTTTTGTTAGATTGAAAAATCATGGTTTGCAATTTTGCATTATTATGTGTTCAGTTGCCACTTAACCCATCAATGCCGAGAATTATTTTCTGAACTTTTTTTTGGTTCCTTGTGAGAATATTATCATTTGTGATGGTAATAAATGAAAAATATGTTCATACATTTATTTTTCATTGTATGTGAAAAATTATAGCTTGGTTCCATATGGAACCACTCGGCATTAACATACAAAACATTTCTTCAAGCAACACTTTTTTTTATAGTAAATCAAGCATGGTTGTTCATAATGGATAATACATAATATAAGTATTGACAATGGACAATACTGATAAATCAATCCTGCTAGAATACAATTTAATTTTTAGCATGGAATGCTTCCATTCATTCAGAATGAATAGGAAGGTTGCCCATTTTACGAATGTTTGTGGGTGAGTTGTTCATATTGTTTGCATATGCAGTGCTTCTGATGTCTCTTTGCTGCCGATGTTGTTGATTGTTATATTGCACTTCATTAAGGATTGAAGTAGAAGGGTGCAATATAGACCCTGATTGTTTTATTTTGTGTCTCCTGCATTATTGCTTTTCCTAACTGATCTTTTCATAAATTCATTGCAATAGCCATACATTTTTTTCAAAAGTTTTTTGAGAAGCCAAATTAAACCAAAATAGATATCACATATAATATGTTGGCCTTAGACCACTTGTATCATGATTATGGGACCAATCCATGTTCCAGCCCATGAATAAGTTTCTTTTTCTATTAGATCCACTGATTGGCTTCAATTGCAGAAAAATGTCATCTGATTTATCAGCTGCCCAAAATTCATACCTATCTAAATCTCACAGGCTAGCCATGTAAGTATTTGTCATGGCATTTGGGGGCCATGTTGACCACAGTTGACTTTCTTCTCTGTCGATAGTCATTGTTTTCACATTTGATATTACTGCTGCTACAATGACTTCTCGGTAATCGATCGGAATTGCCAGTGGCTGCGTCATCTGAGTTATCTGAATCTCAGTCTGTTTTGTCTGTTGCTGTGAAAAGTTCAATAGCAAATATTTGATCTTCATGCTATTATTCTCTCAAAATCTTAATTATTTCAAGTGATGATCTGCCAAAGAAACAATTAGAAAAAAAAGTGACTCGGGATGAAAAATCGTATAGTGTTCAACGTACCTAATTCCTAATATTTCAACTTTTGGTTTATATACTCCTAACAGTTCTAAAGATAACAGTTCACTAATAAATAGCAGAAAAACTGTAGATCTAAGATATGAATAAATAATTTCTAAATCCAAACAAATTTTTGAGATACAATGCATAACTATATCTCAAAGTAATCAACTGTGAAAATGAGATGACCGGAATGCTTACACTACTGCTGAGCAGTTCCATTTATAACCAGGCAAAATATTTCATGATCTAAATGACTTTAGAAACATTATATCACATTATACCATATACAGAATTAAAAGTACTCTCTTTATCGATAAAATTCTGCATCTAACTTATAAATAATATATTTTTAGAATGAACTAGGTACTTATTTTTCTCTGCAATGATGTCAAGCCCTTCTGTGTTCTGTCTGACACCCATTACTTACAATCTTTTAATGTTAACTGAGCAGGTATTAGTCGGCCCAGCAGAACCAAACGTTGCCACTTGCCAGAACACGTCCAAGATGTGTATCAAACCTACGCATCCACTAGTATACTGATTTGACCATACAATTTTATTATGAATCCATTTTTTTCCGCTGGTTCCAAATGGAACAGCTTGGCATTAATGGGTTAAGTAAAGCCAAATGTTAGTTTTGCTGTTCAGTGTTTTAGGGTAAATTAAGATTTTTGGAGTCACGCGTGCAAGGACTTTGTAAATACGTTTGCGGCTTGTTAATTACTTAATAGCATTTCATTTCCAAGATTTAGAATTCACGGCTTGAAGAAATGGAATGACTGCTCAAAGAAATGGAATCACAGCTCAAAGAAATAGAATCACAACTCAAGTCTCAAAGAAATGGCAAATACCTACACAAATCCATGGCTCAAAAAATTCAGTACTGGCTTGCCAAGTAGATACCTACGCATTACGCTGCTACGCATGCCTTTAGTTTAGTGGCAATGTGGCATTGACAGTACAGTAATTACTCTTGTCTGACATCTTTTGTTTTATTGAAAATTCAACCCAGTAAAATTTATATTGGAATTTGGAAACATGATTCAACTGTTTTTAGTTGTGATTCCTAGAATTCTTACATGCATAAAAACATTATTACACAGATAAGTGAGAAAATCCAACTAACCTGAACCAGACATGCAAAAAATGCATGAATGGAAAAGATGACATCATTGAGCTGGACAGGATTGACTCCAAAAGGATGTCTTTGAAAATATTGTGCCTTGATGAGAGGACTCCAGAAGAGAGCGATGTTAAAAATGCTGTAGAACATAAAGCCCACAACATTCAATGCTAAAAAATCAAAGTGAAGTCCAATAACACTCCTTCTCTTGAAGTTCAATATCACTTGAGGGTAGAAGGAGATACTCCAAGCAACAAAGTAGAGCCATCCAATAACATCACTTACATAGTCTAAAGTGTCCGTATGAGATATTGACACTCTAGCATAAGCTTCGGATAAATCAATCATGTCAGTGCTGTTAATAAATACAACAGTGTGACCAACATTTCTTGGCTTCAACACAATGTATAAGCTATCATTCAGGCCAGCAGGAACGGTCTTTGAGGGGATTTCTTCAAGAATACCACTTTCAGAAAAACTGAAGGTTAGATTAGTATCACTCTGTTTTGATCCATAGAAGAGCAGGGTAATTGTTTCCGTTTGAGAAACTGGAAATGATAAATCATTTGGAGAAAACTTTACCTTGAACTCCGAACTTCCATCAGTTTTAACGGCATTGGCATGAAAAATCAAGACAAGTAACGGTAGGAAATTCAGGCTGGTATCATACCGCTTTTTCATGATTCTGAGGCTATGCGATTTCACAAATCACACTTTTGAATATTTTCGAAAAATGCGAGAATTATCCACGTTTGTTCTATGCTGACGAATCGCAATGATATAAACTTTAGCCTTTAGGACACTGGCGTTGCAGAGTTCGTTTAGCAGTCATATGATATGAACACTGTAACACACACTAAGTTCGATTTCGTTTGTTCGTTGATAAGACTACCTATTCATCTACGGAGTACTGATAATAATTAGCGGCCGCATTGAACTGATTGGCGTCTCTAGACTAGAGACTGTAGCCTCTACTGGCCCTCTAGGTTCCCAATACTTTTTAACTCTTGTTCACCTGACAGGGTTGTTTTGCAGTCACCGCATGGCGTCGTCACTACGTACCATTAATTTCTACATTATTAAGTATAATTATTGCATTTTGCCTTAACGATCAAGCGAATAATCAGAGCTACCGGCACACACAGATGCATTGAATTGATTGATCATTTGATGTGAGAACAACCTGTTTGCAGAAAATCTGTACTCTATAATTATTGAAAATAGAAATGAGGTCTAAAACTGCACAGAACAAGCTAACAAGAGCATTTAAATTTTAAGTTTTGGTGTAAAAATAATTATCGCATTGTTTTAACTTCATCAAAGACACAGAAATCTAGCTACGTGGCTGGTACTGCCAGGGGCCCGGTCCGGTCGAAAAAAAAAAACTGTGAAACAATATGCACATTCATATATTAAAGGTTAGCTAAAGAAGACTGTATTCAAATCACTCGAGAATGTTAAGTCTTCCAATGATGGTTCAAAATTTTGATACGAAATCTTCAGCCCAGGAGCCCAATTTATACATTTTTGCGGCTTCTGTCCGGCTGTTTCAAGTTTGCATTTATGCTGATTTCTTCAACTTCACTACTTCAGTGAGCAAGAAACTAAAGTCAAAATGCAACCGTCAACGTTTTTAGCATAATAAAAATAATTCTGATAAATTTTATTATTCTTTTATAATTAATGGCTAATAAACGCTGAAAACTAATATTTTGTGTAATATTCGTTAATGTCAGTTGCTTGCTTCGGTCGCTACTTCTTTCTCTATTTTTTTTCAGTTGCTTGCTCCTCCATCCATTCATTATTTATATCAAGCATGTGTACTCAGTTTGCACGTCTTACTTTAACGGGAAGAAAAAAAACTTCGCATTACCCAATGAAAGCCAAACCAAAGAGAAAAAATCTATTAATAACAAGCGGATAGTAACTAGGTCGTTTTTTCAAACGGTCTTAGGTGAAACTATGCATGAATTCCAAAATCACCATATCAATAGAACTAGGATTGGAAATTTAAATTACAAAATGACTTTTCAACACTTTTCCGTCTGTGAGCGAGCAGATACTGTAGAGTAGAGTTACGGGAAGTAGCGCAATGAATGAGGCTGATACGCAAGTAACAGCAAATTTGAAGCGATTTCTCAATTTCAATATTACTAGGTGATTACTGTTATAACAGCATCTCTCACTGAGTTTAAGTAAGCCTAGCAAGAAGCTCGAGGAAAAAATTAGACTACTGAAGATAGTATTTTTAACCACGATGTGTTCAAACAATGAATAATTTTGAATGTCTTGGACGTTAGAGGATTGGCTGTACTTCTGCAAAATTTTAAGCTACCTATATCCAGGCCTATCACTTTTAAACTATTATACTAATATTTTTCAACAGTTTCGTAGGTTCACAAAGTGTTATACATACCAAGATAAAATAAAAATTATTCCATGTTGAACGCAAGCAGATAAAAAAATGTACTTAGATACGGCCATGGAGAAGTTATTCAACAAAATACTAGAGTCAAGCTTAAATTATAATCACAAGGTCTTAACTAAATGCAAGAAAGAACTTAAATTAACATTTGGGTAGGAAAGACAGTTTTGTGGAGGTCCAGGACAGAAGTTAGTCAAGTTTCTTAAAATTTAGTTCAGGTATATGTACACATAAATCATTCGGCAGGACAGTATTTACTAAAATGTTCATAGGCAAGATTTTCTATTAGTGTTCCTCTGTCGCTAAGTCTCACAGTAGCAGCAAATTTATCTTTATGCAAAGTGACGAGCTCAGCCTTGCAGTGTTTATAAGGGCCCTTAAGTACCACCACCTGACGCCCTATTGCAGGTATGACAGTCTCCAGGTGCGACTGATCGAGCTTCAGTTTCTTCTTAGAATCTATTAGCTTCACTTTAGCCCCGTACTGATCAACAACTTCATACACAACGCCTTTCTGCTTGTAGTAGGTCTCTCCCAAGTTCTTAGTGATGATCTTCACAACGATGTCTTTGATAATCCAGGGGTCATCAGCAACTACAGCAGCAGTACTGACTTTATCCTCCTCTTGAGCCATATGCTTCTTTTTTCTCTTCTCCTCCTCCATGATTTCTTCTAATGCTGATCGTTTTTTATTGATATCCTTATTTTTTGCTCCGTCTGTTGACTTTGTGTTGGACTTAATTTTCAACGCAGAAGTGGATGGTATGAGGGAAGGTTTTGAAGTGGAGCCAAGAGTCAGGTTTAGCTTTATTGGTTCATCTCCCTCACGTTTTAAATCTGTATACACAGCATCTGGAATGTTCTTAGCTGTTTTAAGTCCTAATTCAATTTGTCTTTCAATAAACTGCCGGTGTCTCTCCTCAGCATCCATTTCATTTTTCTCTTTTCTAGCCAGTTTTTCTTGCCTCAAAATAGTCTCTGGATCCCTGTCAATGTAAGCCACAAACCAGCCTTTCTCCGTTTCATCAACAATGCAATGACCTTCGCGGCCAAGCCATTTAACAAACTCTGTGAGAGTCTCCCATTGAGTAGCATTCATGTGAATGTGGTTTCGATCATGTATGTATTCCTGATACACGTTATTAGCCTGCACTCGTTTTGTTCCAAATCTCCTTTTGAGTAAATCAAGGTAATCCTTATAGAAGTCTTCTGAAAATGAATCTAGATACTTGTCAGGATTTTCAGCAAAAAGAAGTAGTTGGCGCTGATGACTTTCACTCATTGTGTGGCATTTGAAGCCATTTTCGTCCCTGCACTGCTTCTGACACATCTGGCAGTACCACCGTAGCTTTTGCAGACCTTTTGCTTTCATCCGGTTTGCCAGATCCTTGGGAGTGCCCTTCTCAGTTTTCCCCATGGTGATGGCTTCTAGTTGTTGCACGCAAAGAAAACTCCCTCACCCTGCACAGTAAAAAGTTATATTAATGCTCATGGCTTTCATGACCAATGGTAAATCTGATTCATGTTAGTGAATGGAAACCACTAGAAGAAATAATAATGCTACTTTCATTAGTAAATATTTTGAGGAGAACTGTCAATGAAGAAGTAATTGAAAGATTGAGAAAATATTATATTAAGGATTAAAATTTTTGGGTTTTATGTGAACATCAAGTATATGTATTTAAATTAATTCCTTGCCATTTTAAACAGGGTATTCAGTGGAAGTCCACTGATACTTGGAACTAAATTCAGACTTTAAAATGGGGTAAAATATTAGTTGAGATATGGGGGAGGTTAAAAGAATACTATAGGTGATTTTTCTTGGCAAAGCATCATTTGCTGAAACCCATGTCTAGTAGCAACATTAGCATTCATTGAGAAGCATACTTACTGCCTTTTTGCTAGAAGATCCAAATAAACTGCATAGAACTTAAACAATCAATCAGTCTGGAGAAGGGCATGCATGATGCATCAACCAAAAAATGACAAACTTTATGCACTATCCTAAAATTTTGTGCAAGTTTGATGAGAGACCAGAGCAAGCTTTTTACTGATAATCTTTGCACTAGTTTTTTCAATGAGTCCAACAAAATTTCTTGCTGGTGCTGAGAGCCTGGGAGATCAAAAGGCAGGTTACCAAATGACTTTTTAATGGAATGTGACATTTTGAAAATACAATTTTCATTATCAAGCAGGTGAAGGTTTTGCAAGAATTGAAATTGAGTTTTTTCGAAAATGACATTAGTACAAATCAAAGGTAATGTGAATACAATTTGATATCTAAACTAAAAGTTACTCTGAAAATCATTTCAGCATCCATATGAATCCTGTAGTCTTATATAGGAAATTCCCTTCCTATATAATTATTATCCAAAGAGCATGATCACACAAGATGGCAAGAATATTGAAAATTTGTCACAAAAAAGCATAGTAACACTTTGACTATGAAGTGGTACATATGCGTACCACAAAATGTATTTCTCCAGGACGTAGTGATACATAATTAAGGTTGCCTAAAATCGGCCAAATCCGAGAACAAAAAAGGCCAAAAAAAGGCCGATAACTCAATATACCAACAACCTCCCTTGCAAAGAGCTTTGGATGAGCCTATACTTGTTTATGAAATGTTTCATAGTAAGAAGATATGAATGAAAAATGTTCAAAATCTTCCCGAGTAGCCCAAGTTGACAGTATCCTAGTTTATTTGTAGCTTCTGCTATAAAAATTCCATTTATTTTCATTTTGCAGTATTTAAAATTTAATTAGGATTTAGGAAGTACCACTATCATAAATTTTAGCCAGCCAACGCAATTGAGATCAACTAAATCACGGAATTTGTCCAGAAAAAATGACCGTCTGGCAAAAATGTTTAAAAACGGTACTAAAAATGAAATAATAGTACAAGATGAAGCAATCGTAGTCAACATGTTAAATATGTCAAAATTTCTGTAATAAGTAGAAAAATTTCAATCCTATCAAATTATATCCTAAAATTTTTAAAACCACTCGTGTAACAAATGCTTCTATCATCAGGTTCTATGATCATTTTTAGAAAATTCTATCCAATATTCAAGGCTGGTATATTAGACGGTGAGACAGATACAGAATTTTGAGAATCATCACTGCCAGGCGGCGGTGCCATCGCGGCATTGCCATGCACAGACTGAACACTAAAGTGAACTAGTGAGTAGCCTAGTGAAAGCCTGAACCCTGAAGTTCTGAACTTCTGAAGCTACTATGAGCATTGAGCATATGACAATATGAGCTAAGGGCTAAGGCTAAGCTAAATAATAATGAGCAGATGACAAGATTATATTACTTATGAAACTTCAATGTAATATTTTGTACACAAATGTACATCTGCAGTTTAATTCAAAGTTTTTTAATAATATTAACATCAATTTGTCAACATTTTCTATTTGTAGGAATTCATTAAAAATACATAGGTAAATTATACATATTCATACAATTTTAGATACATTTTCTTAGAAAAACTGATAGGCCTAATGTACTGTCAACTGGGGCTACTCGGGATGGTTTTGAGCGTTTTTTGTTAACGACTTCTTACCATGAAACATTTATAAACATGTTTAGGCTCATTTTATAGCTCTTTGCAAGGGCTATCAAATGGCATCTTGAAAAAAATTCCATATTCTATTCGTAAGGTGCCAGAAGCAAAAAAAGAGTGTCCTGAGTAGCCCAGTCAAACGGGGCTACTCGGGACACTTGGAATAAAACTTCATTTTAAAATATTTGAAGCATGCAGAGTATACTCATCCATTACCAACAGTACTCTGAAGTCCTCCTCTTTCATTGTAGGTGATGTAGAGGTAGAATAAATGACATTTTCTGTTATTTTTACTCATTTTTCCTTTATTGATGATATTACCATATACATTGATTTCCATATTATTGATGGGATATTACCGTATTATTGATGCAATATTACCATATCCATGAACATGCCATTGAGCATTTACAACCTTGTCCACTGGACCACTGCAAGCTTCATATCAGCAGCCTTATTTCATTTTTTCTGTATCTGAAAGCTTACAGGATGGCTTGTAATTTCACACCATTTTAATTGGGTTAAGTGAATTTACTATTAAAAAAAGATTGTGAAAAACTTACCTGAAACAGAAAGGAATGTTTTAGTGACAACCATCATATGTTTTGCATAAATAAATCATAGTTTAGGTCAATTACTTTTCATTCTATGATGCCTGGTGCACAATTCTATATATGACATTCTATGCACAATTTTCCGATGACCGATGACGCACTAATTTTTTGATAAATGAAATTTTTTCGCCAAGCGAGGTAAATGTAATCAATATTCTTTGTTTTTAATCAACTTTTTTTCTTAACTGGAGCCTTTGCTTACTGAGGTTCTTACTTTGCTTACTGAAAAACGCATCTACTGTAAATGCGTTTTTGGGGGTGTCCCGAGGACCCAAACCCGAATAGCCCCAGGGGTGTCCCGAGTAGCCCCGCCGTGCGGAAATGGCTGCCTTTTTTTTTATTGAGGTATGTAAATTCTGCACATAAAGTTTTCAAACCAACACCTGGGTGCAACTTTTATGTAAGTAAAATTTTTTAATAGGGCAAATATTTTTTT